CAGTTCAAGAACGAGGCCCAAGGTTGGGTACCACTGTCTTAGATGATCTCCAAGCTTGCAATACCATGAAAACAGAATTAAGCTGTTTGGTCAAGAGTAATTACGTTGCTACGATGTTTCTTTCCTTCTTTAAGAGTAAAGAGGGTGAATGTATTTGCTGGAGGAAGCCCAGTATTAAATCCTAAAATCTGTTAGTGTTCTTCTTGACTGAGCAATCACATATGCAAACAAAGCCTAGGATGTGGAGATCTGTGAAGTGACCATCAGACCTTTTCAACATTTAAGGAATTTCTTCTTCAAATGAAAGTTTCTTGTTGTTACGTGCCTTCAGGTTGTCCCCGACCTACAGTGCACCGATCAATGAATGACCTCCATAACATTCTCTCGTTAACAGCCCTGCTCAGCTCTTGCAAACTCAAGACCGCGGCTTCTTTTAGAGCCAATCCATCTCATATTCAGTATTCTTCCTGCCTTCAAATTTTCTTAGCATTAATGCCAGTCAGCCTGTAAGATATCCTTTGACCCTTTCCATCTAGACCTAAGCCTCTTAGCTTACTCATTCTAGCCCTTTTAACTGGTAAAGCTCTAGGAAATCTCTAAAATGGACAACAAAGAAAGATTCCAGACGGCACTGTTTCATGTTCTCTGCCATCAAGTTGGAAATGATTTATAACGACCCTAATAGGGCTTTCAAGGTACTGTACATTGGACATTTAAGAGTGGTTTTATCAGCTGAACTCCCACAGTGAGTTTCTGTGTTCAAGTGGGGATTCGAACCCTGTTCTCCAGAGTCCTAGTCTGTCACTCTTATCTATAACACCACATTGGGAATCTGTTTTTTCATAGGATATGTTAATAAAAGCAAGCCACTGTACAGTCTGTTTTTTTAAAAAAGTATTTCACCATTTACTTAGTAAATGCAAACATTCACTTGATTTTGAATCAGTAAAGGAATAAGGGAAGCAGAATGCCAAATTTTGTTCTACTGATTCCATCCTTCTGTCTCCACCCAATTGTCCCTTCACAACGTTTATTGTAACATTGAGAATCATAGTTACTTACCTCCAACAAGTTCTTCCAAAGTAGGAACGTGAAAAGCAAACTTCTCAACTTTGGCCATGTTTTATTTCACTGAGTAAAGCAGAGAGCTGAGCTACAAAGAGATCAGAGTACAATCCAAGACAGGTTATAAGTTTGTTAATGAACACACTGGCTTAGTGATTAAACTCAGGGTGTATATATTTGCAGAACTACTTACTGCTGACTTGTTCTTAAGTCAGCTTCTAAGGAAACAGAGCACCATATGCAGGAATAGAGGGTGGGGTAATTGTGCTCCTCTGCTGCAGCAGTAACTGTCTAAACGCAAGAAAGGTTCAAAAACATTTTAAATAAATTAATAATAAATACAACAAACAGCTTCTTTGGAATGTAAAGCCTAACAGTGTGCACTTGGCATTAAGGTTTCATAGACTTTAGCCCTGTTCTCCAGGGACACAGAGTAAAGTTTCTTACTATATTGTGAGTCCTACTCAAGTCTTACAAGCTAAAGCCCATGGCTACCTTTATGGAGTCATACCATCTCATATCACTCTTCCTCTTTTCCTGTTGCCTTCAAGTTTTCCTATCCCTATTGTCTTCTTCAGGGACTCTTGTGTTCTTAAGATATACCCAAAACACAACTGTCTCAGTGTAGTTATTTTAACTTCCAAGGAGAGTTCAGGCTTGATTTTATCTACACTTTATTTGTCTTCTCCATGGCCTGTGGTATCTGTAAAACCATCCTCAAACACTACATGAATTTCTTTAGTCCAACGTTCACATCTGCATGTGTCAAACAAGAATACTGCTGTATCAATTATCTTAACCTTAAACTCCAGCAACACAATCTTTAGCTTGAGGACCATCTTTCTAGTTCCTTCATGGCTACATGTCTAAGTCTCAAATACCAGTGGTTTAGATATCTGTTGCAAAATCAGAGGTTGGGAGTTCAATTCCTCACTGTCTCCTCGAGGAGAACAGTCAGCTTGTATAGTCATGAGCAAGCTGTGCAGTCCCTCCCAGAAGAAAACCCTAGAAAGGATTGCTGTAATTCAGAATTGACTAGACATTATGCCATGATTATTATTCATAGCTGCCCTTGTAAGTCTCAAAGTACTTCGAGATAATTTCCATTTTGGTTAAAGAATAAACCAAAGTATAGACAATATTCAACAATTTTGATTTCTTCAATGCCCACTGTAACATTATGTAGTTCTTCTACAATCATTATTTTTTAGTTCTTAAAGTTCAAATGAAATACTCCTTTTGCAGGTTTTTGACTGTTCCACCAACCACTCCAGAACACTGCAATTTTCTGCCAGACTGCATGCCTACTTTAAATTATTATGTTTCTTCTTCCCAAAAAACTTGAGATAACAGAATAAAGGAAGTATTGCAGTCTGTGAACACCCATTTTGCAGGAACAATAGCTGGAATCTGTGAAATTAGACACTTGGCTATTTTTACTGCCGCAGACTTATATGACTATCTCTCTGGAAGCCAGATAAATCCTTTTCTACTTCCTTATTCAGGTCCACCACTGTGTTAAACACCACGAGGGCTTCCTCCTTATTTAAACTCATTTGCATGCTCCATGTTAAACCAATGAATATAGATAGTGTATTAATGTAAAGTCAATGTTTTATTGAAAATCTCAAAGCCAAATCATGGAAAAGCAAAATTATGCCATCCTAAGCATGGATTCTGTATTTTCTTTGCTATAAGCAGCTTTGCTTTGCTATAAAGAAATAAAATCATTAGCACCGTCGTTACTTTCTGTTTCCCGGCCAAACACATTCCTATTCCTGGCTCAACAGAAAAGACAAAGCTCATCACAATCTAGGATAATAGCTAAATGGTTAAGAAATGTATCACTCTAAATTATACCCTGAGCTATGCTTACTTGAAATAATCATTTCTTTATACTTTTGTGAGTGGTCTTTGTTTATTTTTGTCTATAAAAGCCTAGGTGTAACTTATCACTTTGGAATCCATATTTACAGACTTGTCGGTAACTATGGGTATGTTTTCTGTACTAGTGCAATAAACAGCCTTTCCTATACTGCCTTAAACAAAGGTTACGTGTTTAAGGCAAAAGATCTCAACAATTCCATCCCTCTATCTATCTAACTGTGCCCATTTCTCTTTGTTGCTTAGGCTTCTTATGTATAAAGAAAAAAAAAACTATCATGGCCTAGATGAGGCCAAGACATTTTGCTTAAAATGTAAAGCCAACCAAATTATTTTTGGCACAAGAGACAGAAAATCCTGGAATGATAAACATACGAAATAGCCACTTGTTGCCATTTCTGAAACCCAAACGTTCACTCTACCTGACCAGCCAGCTCCTCCATGGCCTTTGGGAACCAAACTCCTTAAAAGGACAGTCTTCTAAAGTGTTTGTTACAAAGCCATGTAAACAACACAATTCTGTTTATATTTGCGCAGAAGTAAGGAACACTGAATTTGGACAAACCTAAGTATAGAACTGCAACCCAAGCCATCAGCTGTGTAATGCTCCACTATAAATAGGTGTCCAAGATCAACAATTATACCTGCTTTCCCTCCAAATTCTGGAATTTTGCCCCCATTCCATGTTGCATCACGACACTATTACACCAAGCACCAGAAGTATGAGATTTACATTTTACCTACGACTGCCTACCTCTTAATGCTTTACAATATATTTAACTGGACTGTTCATTTTGTTTTTACTTTAATTTTTGGTTTGTTGCTTTCATGCATTACTGTTATTATGGTCAATTTTTTTGGTGTAAACTGTCCAGAATGGTCTCTGGACAGATGGGTGGTATAGAAATCAAATCAGTCAATAAAATTAGATTTCCGATTTTTCTTGCTTTTTAGCATACAAAATAACACCACTGTAATTCCCACAATACTGCTGAATCCCAAATTTCTACTATTGCCTTCCATTTGCCAGGAGGAACATCACAAGCATGGACACTCATGTATCGATTTTAACACATTCCCGAGATTAAGGCTACTTGTAATTTGCAGTACAGCTAACAAGACAACTCAAACCAGTGGGTGATCTTGGGCCAGTCAGAATCTAGATTAAGGCTACTTGTAATTTGCAGTACAGCTAACAATACAACTCAAACCAGAATACTAAACTAGGAAACAAATCAATGTGAACCACGATGATGCAGTGGTTAGTGGGCTTGACCGGCACCTGGAAGCTATGCATCCAAGTTTCCCTGCTGAGCTGCAAAACTCAGTGGGTGATCTTGGGCCAGTCAGAATCTCTGAGCCTGGTCTTCCTCACAGGGTTGTTGTTGCAAGTATAAAACAGGGAGAAAAATCATGTACACTACAGGAAAAGTGAAGCATAAATAATTATATTAACAATAACGAAGTAGAACCACTTGACTTTCATTGCTCATCGGCTACAACCTAAATATACTGATTCAAGAGGGAATTTCACAGTTTTTAGCTGGGCTTACGTCCAAGAAAGCATAGGATTGGAGCACTGCTATTTAGAAAGTTTGTGCACAATTACACCACCCAACTGCAATGCACAATTCCTCAAGAATAAACCTCTTTGAGTCCAACGGCACTGGCTTCTGAGGGCTCAGGTCATCTCCCTGCAATGCAACGGGCATCATCCCCAAACTACTTACAGGAACGTCCTCAGCAGCACCCTAGCCAGAGGCTCTTTTTCTGCACGCGCACACGCCCCATCTCTTCTCCGGACCTACGTCACTCCTCACCCTCCAACCAGCTTGTTGCTAGACCTCGTCGGCCAATCACGGCTATCCCTTCCCCGTGCCCTTCTGAAGATGGCGTCGCACGGAAACAAACGGGGGGGCGGTCAACCCTTCTTCCCGTCAGCCCCGGAATTTCGCCCCCGGAATAAAAATATCGCGAGACTTGAAAAGCTATTTAAGAGACGCGGCAGGAAGAGGGAAGGCCCTTGTTCTTGGATTGCGTGAGACTCAGGTGAGTGGTTGGGATCCGTCGCCATCCGCTGGGTCGGTGCTCTCAGTAGAACGCGGCCGGCTGGGAAATGATGGAGAGGGGGCCTTGTTGTGATATTGGCTGGTAAAGGGGGTTATTGAAGTTAAGAAATCGGTCTTTTTTGTCTCTTCCCATTCAACCGTTGTTTTTCATGGCGTTGGCAACGTGATGGCTGCCTTCGTTTCTGGGCTCGTTGTAGGGGGCGATGGCGAGCCAGGGGCCCTTTCGATCTTCATGCACTCCTGCTTTCATCATCCCAAATTATTGACCTTGTATATGTAGGGCTGATGGGGCCCTTTAGATCTTGGTCTCATGCACTCCCCATCATCCCCAAAATTGCTTAGGGGTATCTGGGGCTGATGGGGCTCTTTAGATCTTGGTGCACTCCTGTTCCCATCATCCCACATGATTACCTAGGTATATGTAGGGTTGATGGTGCCCTTTAGATCTTGGTGTACTCCTGTTCCCATCATCCCACATGATTACCTAGGTATATGTAGGGTTGATGGTGCCCTTTAGATCTTGGTGTACTCCTGTTCCCATCATCCCACATGATTGTCCAGGCATATCCAGGGCTGGTGGGGTTTGGACTCTAGGAACCTTGAGGTGCTGCAGGTTTCTTAGCTGTCCTTGTTGGAGGGTGGAGAAAGCAAGGGTGAAGGTTTTTTCTTTAAAATGAGATATTTATTTTCAGCTCTGCTCTTCTGTATGTGGAGTTCCTTAGTGTGACCCTTTTATTGTTCCAATTAAGCCCTGCTTTCCCCACCAGTTGGAGGAGTGCTTTAAGCCAGGTAGCCATTTTCACAATAGGGTGGCCATATGGTCCCCTGAGCAGCCTTAGGACATTTGGTGGGGGCCACAAGCTGGAAACAGTTTTTCACACACCACCTTATAAGGTTTGTTAGGCAAGTCATACCATCCTGGTTTGGCCTATATTTCTTTCAGATTGGGCTCATAGTCGTGGTCTAAAAAGGTTGAAAATGGCTGCTATAAGGATCTCTGTCATAGATATGATCCTTGTGCATGTTATGCTCATAACAGCCCTGTGGGGTAGGTGTCAAGCTGATTATGGTACTCCTCCAAGGAGCTGCACAACAGAATGGCGATATGAACACCTACTGAAATAGTTCAACTTCAGCTCTTTTTCTCTCTTATTTCACCTTGGGTGGCTATTGCTATGATAGATATCGGTAGGATCTCTTTGGAAGTCACTGAGGAGAGAAGCAAAGTGTTTTGCCTGTGTTTATACACATTAATTTCTTTCTCAATGAAGCACAATCTGAGAAAAGTTGAGATTCTTTGCCATCTTTTTTAATTGCATGGTAGTATGCATCGGTAGGATCTCTTTGGAAGTCATTGAGGAGAGAAGCAAAGTGTTTTGCTTGTGTTTATACACATTAATTTCTTAATGAAGCACATCTGAGAAAAGTTGAGATTCTATGCCATCTTTTTTAATTGCATGGTAGTATGGATCTGTGAATCGGGGTGTATTGGGATTGATGGTGTAGATTAATTTGAATGCATTTAGATCTGTGATCTCAGAATAAATTGTAGGGCCACTTGTTTTCAAGAATCAATGCCTGGCACTGAGACACAGCAGTGAGGCATTAGTTAATGCTTGAGTGCAGACTTTGAATGAGTCCAGGGCTAAGATTGTACTGATGACACTTTTTAGCTAATGGTGGCTTGACTGTATTAAAATTATTTAACACTATGCTCTTTGGTGTAGAGAGCTTATTTCAATTAAAAGGAGACAATGGCAGGAAGTGTATTAAAATAATGATTTGGCAGAGCAACTAAAAATCTACACGAACATAGCTTGTTTTTTGCTGTAAGGTGATGGACAAGTAAAAAAGGCAATCAAGTTGCATAAGACCAGATTTTACTATACAGTATGTGATTCAAAAATCTGTATTTAGGTGTCAAGATGTACAAAAGGCAGGTGTTAAAAGAGAGCGGGAGGGAAATAGACAATTTTCCTCCCCTCTTTTTCAACTCTTTTCATAATATTTTACTTGGCAAAAATATTTGCAGGTACAGGAAGCTTGCATGTTTTTTTTACACTCTAGGGGATTTGGCATTTGTTTCCTATGGAGAAAATTATTATCTTTGCTTTTAACATGCACAAGGTTTTCTGATAAGAAATCTGCATTCTGACCTGGTTTCTGGTTTGTTTCACAGGCTGCAGCCCTTCAGTAGATTTTGTTTTAAAAAGAGGTGAACGTGTGTGCCACCTTAGCTGCTTTAGAACAAAGTGCTAGCAGCAAATGGCTGATACTAGCGAAACAGAAACCTCCTTGTCAGATGATGCTGAAGACTTCAGGAATGGCAGTTCTACCCAACCCTTATTGCAGCTGGAAGCGTGCTCAACTAGATCTGTTCCTGATTCGGAAGTGTGAGTGCCTATTGTGTACAGTATTTCTGTGCTCTTTTGCTGTCGTTATATCCTCAGTATGATCTCTCTTGCTGCAGTATTACCTGGGTACTTGTCCTGGTGACTTAACATGCTATCTACCCTGAGATCTTGAGGGTATTGTGTATTTCTGTGCTTTTTTGCTGTCAGTATATCCTCAGTATGATGTCTCTTGCTGCAGTATTACCTGGTTACTTGTCCTGGTGCCTCAACATGCTATCTACCCTGAGATCTTGAGGGGACCCCCGTGCTGCTGTTGACTTGCTCTTAAGTCTACAACACTTGCACCTATAATCTTTTTATTCTACTTGTCTGTTTCCTGAGTAGTTTCTGTGCTTTTTTGCTGTCAGTATATCCTCAGTATGATGTCTCTTGCTGCAGTATTACCTGGTTACTTGTCCTGGTGCCTCAACATGCTATCTACCCTGAGATCTTGAGGGGACCCCCGTGCTGCTGTTGACTTGCTCTTAAGTCTACAACACTTGCACCTATAATCTTTTTATTCTACTTGTCTGTTTCCTGAGTAGGTCTGAAACTACAGCGGCTCAGTAACACAACATTAATGTGTTGTACTTTAAATAATCAGTGCAATAAAGTGTCTTAAAATTCAGCCTAGGAGAAAAGTTTGTAAGTGATGACTTCATGGAGGCCTGTTGAAATGGAAGGTTGTGATTTCTTGGCACAACAGCTATGTGGGATTTCCTGCTCTGACACTCCATTTAACATAGCGATGTGGGCTCTCCCACATTAGACTCCAGGGGTGGAGAAAACATACAGATTATCTCATGTAGCTTCTCTTTTTTTGAAACGTTGAGAGCTGATCCTGTGGAATTCCATGCCTCAAGGCAGTCTCGGGTATAAAACATTTTACTGCAGCCACCAGCAAGTGCCTTGGATCCTTTTCTGGCTTCTTAAAATTTAGGAACCATTGCTAAAGTTAAGATGAGAGAAATGTAGCATAAGGAAATAAGGAAAATATTTGTATGAATAAACAAAAGGCCCTAAACGGTTTAGGACCTTGATATTTGGCGGAACACCTACTCCCACCATGATCTA